TTTTGAAAATATGCATGAGCATTTTTGTGTAATTTGGCGACAAACATAGTCGCCTGCTCCGAATTTACTGCGCGTCGTATATACCAGACAGTTGGATTCTTCTTAAGTTAGAATTTGTATATAATTTTATAATTCTTTGTTCGTTTCTTACATTCTAGCTTTAGTTATACATTTACAAATTAATCTTTTAGAAATGATTTAAATCTATTTGAAATATATGAAATAAAAATTGCTAGCATTCAGGAAATATCAGAATGCAATGCAACAATAGTACGGCAACAATGACTCGAGAGCTAATTTCTGCTAATTACGTCTTGTTGTTGTGACATGATATACCTGTATGAAAAGCAGTTATAATTGTCAAATTTGTTGATATTTGCTTGAAAATACTTAGTTTTTGCACCAAATGTTCAGTGATCTGTAATGATTTTTAGAAAAAAAGTCGTAGACACAGAAAGATTCAGAGACACCTTGCGGAGACTGGAACTACAGTTTTTTAAACTCGCCGGAGGCTATAGCTATCTGTCGGGTGAGCTCAGAACTTTATCGCAGTGTCTGTTGACGTTGACTAACATCATGAAGACATCCCCCCACCCCCACCAGCGAAACACCACCTCCTCGTCACAGCCTCTGGTGCATCTTCGCATGGATTCCAAAGTTGAAGTTGAAGGCTGCGTAAACGCTCAGGCTCGCAGTAAACGCGGTTTAATTTCTTGTATCTGATTTGCAGTTCATGCCAGACAATTGTGAAGCGATTATGACTTACAAGAGTAATAATTAATTACTCAAATATTCTTATATGTATATAAAGATATAATGGTGAAATTTTTTAGTTGTACAGCATACATGCTACAACCGGCCCGAGCCGCCACTAGTAATAATAATAATTACATTAATAATAATAATAATATTAGAAAATACACATCAATTTTGTTAGCAACTACATAAAATTTAACAATAGTATTACATTCTATATTTAAAACTTGAAATGGTGAAGAGGCAAGTTTTGACCATTTTTTTCTTTCAATTTGTACACGTAGTCCTACTGCAGCACCTAATGTGCCTAGCAAATCCTTCTCCTCCTATTTCACAGGATGTGATATGCCAGTTCGTTTTTCTTTGCTTCTGCTCATGGGATAAGGGATAAGCAATGGGATAAGAAATTCTTATTTATTTATATTTTTTTAAGGGAAATGTAATTTGAATATTCCTTTACACTGTAGAACATGTTGTTAAGCAGGAGAGCTTTCAATTTACTTTTAAATGTATGAATTGTGTTTATGTCATTGCCTAGTTTGTTGTAAAGTGTAATGGGGTTAGGGTACTTTTTGTGCTACAAGTGTGGTTTCAAAGTGGGGAAAATGTAGGTTATCCTTTTGACGGGTGTTGTAGTTGTGCATCAGAATTTAAAGTAAAAGTGTCTTTGTTTGCCATGAGAATTTTCTTTGTGAAGACCACTATTTCAAATATGTACATGCATGGTAGAGGAAGCAATCTTTAGTTTATTCAACAAGGGTTTGCAAGACTCAGCTTATGAGTGCTGGTCATTGTTCGCAATATTCTTTTTTGGATAATAAATGTGTGAGTGCTTCAGAGGCATTTCCCCAGAATATTATTCCATATTTAGGTGTGAGTGCACATTGCAAAATACATTGTTCGAAGTGTCTCAATGTTGGAGGCTTGACCTGAAGGTGTATAGGGCATAGCAAGATTTGGTGAGCTTCTTTGTTAAGATTTGGAGATGGTGTTCCATTTTAGGTTTTCTTGAATTGTTAGTCCGAGGAAGTAGTTTCATGAGATATCGTTTACAGGGTTATTGTTTATGAGCAAATGCTGTGAGTTTTTCTTTAGATCGAGGATTACAGAAATTTAGAGAGACCGTCTTGCTGGTGTTTATGATGAGTTTGTTGTCTTGAAACCATTTTACTAGTGCTTGCAAAGTTTGTGAGTTACTTTTTCTAATGATTGTTGTGCTTATTTTGCTTTGCTGATATGATTGTGTCATCTGCAAAATTATTTTGTTGTTCCTTAAAGCCAAAGGCATGTCATTAGTATAAATAGTATTACATAACCATTATTAAAGGCGAGAAAATACATGCTGTTATAGCACCACTAGTTCTCAATGGTTACCTATCATAAAATTTAACTTAGTAGTTGCTCAACAAATTTGCAATTTTCAAAATTTCCTAGAGTTTAACGAAAACGAGCCCTGCGCCATGCTTTTAAGTGCCCCTTGTTGTATTAGTGGAAACAACTGTTGCTGTTTTTGAGAATTTTTTAAAATAATTTGCATTAATTTCAAGCAGAAAGTCTGCCAAAACGGTTAGATTAAAAGAGAAATTGACATGATCTTTTTTAGAAACCTGATTTTTTTGCACATATTTCATTTCAGACAAAAATATCTGAATTCAATATCTAATGTTTGTAATGATAACTTTTTACAATCTTTAAAAATAGAGTTTTTGAAAAATGGGTCCAGTATCAATTTCTATACCAGTCTTTGATACATGAGGATACAATTGTAAGAAAAATTTTGGTGCTATTTTTCAGGAAAAAATTGTTTACAAATTCAAAGTACAAAATAACTCTACTAGTACCAGTGACTTTGCACGAGTTTCATAATAAGAAATTCCCCCACTACGATGGCAGTAAAAAGTAACAGATTCATCGATAGTTCTTTGTACTGTGGAGTATAAAAGCAAAAGGATAAAAAAAGTCAAAATATTTCATACTTTTTATTAAGGATATTTGCTTTTGATCAATAATGACAAGAATAGGCAATATTTAGGCATTTAAACATAAAATAGAGATTTATCAGTGAAATAGGCACTATAAAATTTGCATATAATACTCCTAATGCCTCATAGTTAATAAGATACCTAAAAGATTGCGTTTTCAATTGAAGGAAAGATATACGCAAATAGGCAAAAATCAACGGTTTACTTATAGTGCCTGTCAATACTAAACAATTAACAGTTCATTACTGTAAAATTAAACTGAAAAGTGTTGTCAAACAACAAATACTAAAAATGAAGTTTTGGTATGGGTTTCTTTTGACACCATTTCTGTTCCACAATATTCCTTCTGCGTAAGTAGGATTGTGAAGAAATTAAAGAACAGCTTTTGCTATTTTCAATTCATAGCTCAATGCTTCATAAATCCTCACGATTTGAATTCATCACATTTCAGCTGCTCCATGCCAAATACAGTAAACAACACTTTTCAAAAATATGTTGTTAACAGTATTGCACACTATTGACAACTGCACTACTATGCAGCTTTAAACCAGACTTATTTGTAAATATCTTACTATTTTCAATTATTTCTTTAGCTTAAAATCCAGTATCTATATATTTAAGGTCAAAAAATATTGAATAAGGTAAAAAAACAACAACAACAAATATTGAAATTTCCTTTTCTCATCATAATTGGAAAAATACCAGAGCAGCACATTCTCTCAGGTATTTTTCCTAAAATAAGTTAAGGATAAGGAAAGGATTCATTTAAAATACACAAACACTATTGCAAAAAACTTGCCCTTCTTTATTTCATATTTGGAAAAATAAATGACAATGAATCATCAACAATTAAAACATTTTGCGTTATTTCATCATCACCTACAAATTTTAATCTTCTAAGGGTTCAGTTACAAAAACAAAGATTCAGTGGAATGCTTCAACAAACCAATATAATAATTTGTACCTTTTAATCATTTTACAGAGTTCATTATGTAATAAATTAAGAACAAAATAATTCAAGTAAACAGAAGATTTAATAAGTTTTTAATCTTTACCCTGGCTGATTCTAAAAAATACTGTTGGGATATTATCTTATCAACATCAAAAAGCAAAATGTTTATGTCCTTCTTAATGACAATTTGTATGATTTGCCACTAGTAACAATATTATTTAAAGATAAGAAGTACACTTTTCTATCTCATAATATTCTTGAACATTAAAAATTAAGTTGCTTACATTTTATATTGAAAACAAGATATGTACATTTCTTAACCACAAAAAAATGTCAGGTTAGTGCATTCACAATCTTATAATGAATCATGTTTGAAAAATAAACTTCACCTCTTTTTTGAAATGATTCTTTGAAGTGGTGAACATGAAAAAACTGAACAATACTACAAGCAGAAATAAATAAATGGGTTTCAATTTACAAATGATTCAGCCAGTTAGTTAGTTGTCTTTATATTGGATCCAATGCAAAGAGTATTTTGACGAAAGAAGTTAATGAGAAAAGTTTGACTAATTACAAAAGTTTGAACTGATAAGGAAAACATAGGTATATAATCCCTTAGAAAATTATTTCATGAGCACATCCCCATATGGAATGAATAGTAATGTAATAAAGCACACAAGTGCAAACATTTTAACACCCCTATCACAAATTGAAAGTGAGAACTTAGTTGGCACATTCAACCCTTCAATACCTATCTATTACAGCAGTAATAACAGATATTACAAAATATTTAAAAATTCGGAAACAGCTGTTACTTCAAGTGGTATGGATAAGTTGTGTATCCAGAAATATTAACAAATGCTATCCAAGTTCAGTAGGACCAGTCAAAATACCACACATTTTTTACATATATCACAGGATCATCACACATTTTTCTATAAGCACAAATGTTTAAAGCTTTTTAAGATTTCTTTCATTCAGCTCTTTTGTAATGCAAAAAAAAAAAAAAAAAAAAAAAAAAAAAAAAAAAAAAACCAACAAAGGCACCATAATATTTAGAAAAATGGCCATTTCAGTTTGGAAATTAAATATTTGCAAGGAAAGTATAAATAATCACATTAAGAGAAAATACTGTCAATAGACAGGTGGCAAAAACCAATACTGAATATTTACACAAGAAGCATTGTAAATAAAACTTTGCTGGAGACAATCTTTTTTGCTAAACATATCTTCACCCATTCAGTTGTAACTGTCTAAAAAATATCTTACTAAATTATCCCTTTAAATTTAAAGACTGTTAAATAATTTTTACAAACAGCAAAAATCACACAACAATGTTCAAACCAACTTCACTTAAAAGGCATAGTACTTCCATTTATCATTTAATAAAAAGAACAATTAATTACAGAACCGTTCTAACAACATCACAAGTCATTAAAAGCTTTGGAAACTAGAAACATTTTCAACATATAATATCCACAATAAAATTACTATTTAAAACATTAAGTAGTGAAACTGCATGCTGACTGCATTAATTTGTCTTTCCAAAAGCTAACGAAGCCTTAACAAAGTAAAGTACAATTCTTCAGATATGATCAAAGATCGTGTGTTGTTTTCAATGAAGTATAATAATAACTGTAAATATTTCAGTACATAATAGTAAACCCTTTATATTACAATGAGCAGACACAACAATTTACTTTTCATTCCAAAGTACTTCTACACTTCAATGCTAAGAATGTCGCTGTCCTTGGTTTCTGGAGGAACCTTCATCCATGGATGAGTGACGGGGATTTTCACGAGCAAATGTTGGGTGCCCAGCAAGCTCCAAGAGGTAGCGATCTGGATTGTCAACCCAATCTTCTGGGTTAATTTTTACTTTACGGGCTTTCTCTGCATCTTTGATCTGCAATCTTTTGACATCTAATTGGGCTTCCCTGAAAATGAATATATTATGACACAATAAAAGAGTAGTACTGTCTACTGAAAAATAAACATGAAGACCCTTTTTGAGGATGCTTCTTAGATGACAAGTCCACTAATGTTTGTGAACAGAATATAAATTCTATTTCACAAGAATTTAACTATTTCATTGCTTCCCTCAAGAAGCAGCAAATTTGAATACAGTTATCAACACACCACGAAGAATAAATAATGCGTATCATCAAGCACAACAGATTCTTACATACTGACTGTGTGTACTTGGATTATTCTATTAATTGAAATACACAGAAAATAATTGAAAAATAATATATGATCATACATTAGACAAACTATTCATTAAATAATAATGTACACATTTGTTTAAAAGGGTCAACATGACAATTTTATTAAAATGATTGATTGCAGAAAATTAGAATTCTGTAACTATTAGGATGAATTATGAATAGTTTTGGAAAGTTTGTTGTTGTTTTGATGTTCACTAGCCCTTTCACTAATTCTTTTTGAAAATGTGGACAATTAGATAATTCAGAAGGTGCTCAATTTCAAGCAATCCAGGAAAGCAACATCATGGTTAATTCACTAAAAGTGGCAACAATAAAGTGGAAAAATTAAAAATTGGCAAATTATACACAATATTAGAATAAGTGCAAAAGGTTTTGCTGAAATGTTTTCACCACAAACAATATAAAGAAAAATGAGATTCTACAAGATAACATGCATGTTTCAGAGCTGCCACTGAACATGATGTTGCAAAATTGTCGGCAATATTACAGAGAGCGAGGTGATTTTTAGTGTGTGAGAAGCCTCAGTATATGTTTAGCAACAACGACTTGTAGGCTCAAAGCTAAGCGTGTGAAAAATGCATGTGAGAAGCCTCAGTATATGTTTAGCAACAACGAGTTGTAGGCTCAAAGCTAAGTGTGTGAAAAATGCATGTGAAAGGTGCTCAGTTAACAGCTACAGAAATGCAGAACCTGCTGTAGAAGCACAGACAACTAGCTCAATGCATATTCTGCAATGGTAAATTGGCCATACATATATATATATATCTGTCAACACAGGGGTCAAATATTTTATTACTTTCATTGATGACTATTCCAGATAAACTTAAGTATAATATCTTAAAGACAAAAATAATTCTATAACAATTCAATTCCTTCAAGATGTAGTAGGTAGAGAAGAAAAATAAAGAACATTCTGTCATAATGGTTCAGGAATCATAAACAGAAAATTTGATATATTTAAATGTGAGAGAAAACCAAAAATTAATTTTTGAGGAAATGAGAGAAGGCACAATATAATGAAGATTCACAGAAAGTTTGTTTGTCAAATCTGTATCTGACAAATGTTCCAAATATGTTCAATGTCGATCTAGTGAGGCATTCAAATTCAAATGTGTTCAACAAACTGTAAAACATCCAACATCCATTACTGTGAGAGGCGCAATGTCTTTTATGGGTCCTGAGAGGTTCCACAACATAGACAGAACGCTGAAATAAGCCCAAAAGGTATATGTTATCAAGGAAGAACTACTGCCCCAGATATCAACCTGGCTTAATGAGAATCTGTATGTGTTATGCACAGGAGCGCATCAAGTTAAAAGAAGCTAAAAAAAAAAGTGTGCTAGTGTGTTAGCCTCAATTTGAAACTCAAGTGCTTGAAACTTTTAGAAAGCATGCTACTAAGACTGAACTCCATGGTAAAAAATTAAGGATTCTATACTAAATACTAATTTTTGTTATGGTTATTGAAGACCAAATTAATACATACTATATTATTATACACCAATTTAATTTAAATCAATGTCCTATTGAATCTGAGAATATTATGTTTCAATCATTGCAAATGTGTAAGTCAGCTCATTATAATTAATTTGGTGTATGTACAACATGGTTCACCGAGTATTGATGCTTGATAAATAAAATTCTTTGAAAACTGAATACTGAGTCTAATAATTTGAACAGATCTATAACACATCTGTTAGTGTATAAACTTGGTAGTATCATCTCAATGTGAAGTAGAAAAAAATAAATAATAATAATAAAGTATTGAACAAAATATTATCTTTCTGGAGTGACATATCACAGTTTCGTGTCATAATCTTTTAACCCTTTGCAGTCAGTGTCGTTTGTAACATAAAGTGTCCCACAGGTCAGAGGGCATATGTGAGATGACACACTGAAGATGGCTTCCAGCTCAGAGGTAGGTCGGAGGGCAAGTCTCAGATGACATCACCAATTCCTTGATCCAGTCGTAGGGCATCTCAGAGATGACAAATGTTTCTCGTTAATATTTCTAGACATGATCTGTATTAATAATGTGACTGTGCTTGGAGCCGTAAATAGATTAACTATTTTAAACAATGTCATCGATATCTGATCAAAAAGATTTTATCTCAATCATTTTTGTTGTTTAGTTAGAGAGTACTTCTAGTGCTATATTTCAGAGGTGCAGTGAGCCAGTAGTAGTTGTTAGCACGTGAAAATGGACATTTTGATTGAAGAAAAAATAAATACATTTTTTCAGGAGCTAGACGAAGCTGACAGTGACTGATGATGATTTTTTATGTAATGAAGCAGAGGAAAATTCTTCACATGAACTGGATTCTGATGCAGATGGGTATGAGGACAGCGGACAGGAATGACATAGTACATGGCAATGGTATGTGGACTGCTTGGAGAGATGGAGACAAGTTTGATGAAATTCAATTTCTTTTGAAACCAGAGTATTGACCACCAAGAGTTGATCAGCCTAAAACAACATTAGAACATTTTCAACTATTTTTTTCTGATGACATTTTTTCTGAAGGCATTGTAAGTGAAACCAACAGGTATGGTGACGACAAAGTAAAGAGAAATATGCCTTTTAAAACACAGAATATGGTCAAACAACAACTCAGCAGTGAAGCGCTCTTCTTCTAATTTAAATGATTTATTGCACATGACCAGACTTACCAGCAAATTTCATGTTTCATGCCATTTAGTGTAAAAAAGGAAATGGAGACTGTAGAATCTGCAGCGACAGAAAAAGCGGAAGAAAAACAACAAATTTTTACTGTCAGACTTGTCCTCGCAATCCGGCCCTTCACCCTGGAGAATGTTTTGATCTATCCCACACGGAAAACAACAACAACAACAAACGTTCAAAGCCAATTAAAATGTATATATATTTTCTGTATGTATTATAATTTGTGCTAAAAATAAAATAATTCTTATTTTATCATTGTATTGAAGTTGTCCATTCCATACATATATTTTAGTCAAATTTTGACAGTCTACATGAAAAAGATTTTCTGTGCTGTTAATCTTACATCTTTTACTTAAGCTGTCATCTCGCTCACTTATGTAGGCAATTATAGCAGATCTTTGTATCCATCAGGATACCTGGACAGTTTCATTGCCAGTCATTGTCATTTTTGGCAATGGCTACTCTGACAGACAACCTTTCTCTATTGAAGCACTTTTCCGTCAATTCCAAAATGGTTGGGTTTATGGAGTAGTCTTGGTACCTCATCAAAGGCTTTCGAGAATCCTCCATAAACCACATCTATGGAAACTTTATGATCCAACGCACAATTGGGTTGCAACAACGTTTGTCATGATTAGAGCTCGAAAGTTTGGCAAAATGACTTATTGTTATTGTTATTATTTAAGGACTTAACAATTTGCCTGCTTATTTTAGTAAAAATAAATGCCTTTTTGCCTACCTATTTTAGGTAAAATCAATGCCAGAATGTCCTAGTCATGATGGATCATTATATTCTGACTGGGGACCGTTCTTGGTACCCATTTGTTTAATTATTCTCTTGAATTTACTATTTCAAAATCCACATTTCACCTGTTACCCAAAGGTTATCCCAAGATCACCCAGTCATGATAAAATTTTAAATGTGTGGCCACTAAATCAAGCACTCCCAGCAATTTCCATCTTTTCTTGCACCTTAAGAAATTTCTGTTCAATAAGTATTACACATCACAGTGACACAGAGATGCCAGTGGCTATCAAACACTGGCATCTATCCCAGGTGGCAGATTTCTAGGACACAAGGATACATTGATCCCACGGCATGACTGATGTTTCAATTCTGATTATGATTATTTCAAAAAATAGTGCAATATGTGCTCTATCTACTACAATTAAGTTTTCTCATGAAATTATATTTTCTCGTTGCTGATCACTCTGAAAAACTTACTTTCTGGACGCAGCTCATAAACGATCTGCAATGTGATCTTTACCTTAATACAGAAAAAAATGTTGTTTTTTTCTAAGACTTCACTCAACACAAAAGAGAATGCTTGTTTGTGCTACTTATAAGAACACCTGGTATGACAGCTATATTTTTCAAGTTATTCACCTACCTAAGTTGTTCTGAACCACATCCCCACACTTGTAATTCAATGAGACTGTACGGAGCACCTTGATGAATTACATGTGTAAAGTCAGCATTCACCTCAAGGATTGGCCGCTGAGGTGCAGGGCCCACTCTAATACCCACAGGATAGCCCCTAATTGATTCATTGAAGTACAAGAGTTTGGGCTCACCACCTGCAAATACACATCACATCTTATATATTTTCTTCATACAAATAAGCCTTTATCCTGCATATTTTCATACGCACTTCTATCAATGATAATTTTGAATTATTGACACTACATACACAGAAAACCTTAATATTCCTCACAATACAATCTTAAACAATTCACATTAAAAATTGAACATTGCAAGCAATTTAACGAAGAGAAATTTGCAAAATAAAATAAAATGGTAATAATGGTTCCATTCAATACTTTTACACCATTGTTCAAATGTCTATGGCATAGTAACACTTGTTCATTTTCTTTCTCCACATATAGGGCACAATTAAAAGTTTAAATACATTGAATATATATCACACAGAATTAGAATCAGGTTGTTCATTAATGTACTTAACAAAACATACACAAATTGCTAGTCATTTGAAAATTAGTAATATGATTGGCACACTTGATCAGAGTAAAGATATAGATGAATTATTCCCCACATTTTTGTTTCATAGACATCTTTTAAACAAATTGTTTCCTTCTTTCACATTTGTACTTTCTTGTATTTGTATAAGTATGTGAAGTAATATACGTAGTATAAAGAAAGTTATGTAATGCTACAAAAAAATCTATTTTGAGATTTCAACAGCAATACAGGCTTGCGGGTCCACTGATACTAGAAAGAGTTGTTTAATTTTCCCAAATCCTTCATCTGTCACATGTATGTAAACACCACTAGCATCTATATCATACGAAAAATTTCTTCCAAATAGAAGAAACCCCTATCAATCAGGCTTGAGTCAAAGCTCAAAGTGAATCAGAAGAGAGACAGAGAAGAGAGAGACAGACAGACAGAGAAGAGAGAGACAGACAGACAGAGAAGAGAGAGAGACAGACAGACAGACAGAGAGAAAAGAGAGAGAGAGACAGACAGACAGAGAGACAAGAGAGAGAGAGACAGACAGACAGACAGAGAGAAAAGAGAGAGAGAGACAGACAGACAGACAGAGAGAAAAGAGAGAGAGAGACAGACAGACAGAGAGAGAAGAGAGAGAGAGAGACAGACAGACAGACAGAGAGAGAGAAGAGAGAGAGAGAGACAGACAGACAGACAGGGAAGAGAGAGAGAGAGACAGACAGGGAAGAGAGAGAGACAGACAGAATTTACCTGGCTAAGTACCGGATCCTCACATACTGGTCATATCATTGTCGTAGTACAGACAGTAAAATATGAACCGCAAATATAATATCACACCTAGTACGATACATGATCAGTTTTCAATAGAGTTCAGTGTTGTCAACATTGTTATTTATTAGTTCTGTAGACAATAAGTAATGTGTGTTCACGAGCTTTATATCGGTAATCAATTCGCAATATATTATAGTTTTTTATACTGTCAATTACCCGCCCACGAACGTTTGAACGAACCATTTTCTCCCCTCGTTCCGCAGACCGCAACGTCCCCATTTTTTTCCCCCTTTTTTCCCTTCCCCCCCCCGGAAAAGAGTTTTGGGGTCCCCCCCCCCCTCGAAAGTGTGTTCGTGTTCTCTGAAGTTCTTCGAAATTTTAAGGGCCCTTGGTAGAAGTCACTCCGCTCCTCGCACTCAATTGATTTTTGCCAGTTTAACTGGTCACTGCGTTTGATTATTTACTAATTTAAATAATCGACTTCATTATGAACATTCTAGTGTTATCTGCATCGGGTACCATTTTAACAAGCAGTTTTTAGCCCATATCACATCACAGCGCCTCACACCCTGCCCTTTCGGCCTTTTCGTTGCAACTCCCGTCCGCCCCAGCTTGCAACCGCTGCAGAGTGCCAGCCCGGCCCTTGGGAATAACCTGCTCATGCCCGCTCCGTCGTCGCCGGCGGTGATCGATGGCCGCTGGCGTTGCTCCGGGCCTCCGCACGCCGGCCGCCGCCTCCGAAGCGAGAGTTCTGTTTTAAAAGACGCGCGCCCGTTGGCTCGCGGCGGGGGGGCCGGCGGCTGGGCGGCAGCGAGGACGGGTTTGCCGGGGCGCGGGGCGCGGCAGGGGCGAGGGCTGGGATACAGCGCGGAGGATGGTGGCCGGCGTCCCAGAGCGACGTTTCTCTTCACTAAAGACGCGCGTTCGCAGCTTGGTGGCGGCAGGGCGGGCAGAGTGAGAGTGGTTGTGAGGCGGTAGTGGGCAAAGCAGCCAACAGAACGTGCAGAGGCGAGCATGGCGGGCAAACCGTGCCAGAAGGGGAGGCGTTGGCCGACAGACGTGAGAGGGAGCGTGGGCGGGCAGACGTGCATAGGGGGAGCGTGCGAGCAGAGCGTGAAACGGGAAGCGTGGCCGACAGATGTGCAATGGATGAGCGTGGCGGGCAAGTCGGCTCAGAGGGTTAATGGCGGCAGACATGAGCGAGATGAGGGCGTGTTGGGTTGTGGCAGGGGGCCATGGACATAGCTATGCATGGCAGGGTGAGTGTGAATCGGGTGGCACCGCGAGACCCGAAGGAGGGCGAGAAAGAGCCGTCGCAGGGATGGACGACCAACATGGACGCATCTATGTGCAACCAACATGGAATCTAAATTCAACATGAAACTTTTTTAAAATTTGTATTAAAACAGCGCAAATTGAATTAAAATAATATTGATACTCGTGTCAATGGTATTAACATTTTATATGCAGAATGTTTGCAAAAAACGGAACCTGTGATATCATTAGATATTAGTTAATATATTATTAAACTATCTAAATGCTACGCAGATTAACATAATATGAGGAAACGCGGCTGAATGAAATACCACAATAATTCAGCGGAAGAGTAACTGAGTATACATATACAGGCTTGACTGGATTAATACGTACGATTTGCGTAAACTGATCACGCCAACTAGAACAAGCTTAAGACAGTTGGTAGGAAGTAACTTTTCTACTTCTGCAATTGCTAGCCTCTTTCAAAACCTCCGTAATTTACCATGGACATAGGTAGGGCTAGCAAGTTGATCCAAGAGGGGAAAATTGATTGTTAAAGCAAAGATGGCAGACGTAATTCGCAATTTTTTAAATACGTTTGGGTCGAAAATTTCTGAAACCTGTTTTCCTTAATATCGTTTTTTAACAAAAATTTTACTCCTTTCCGGACTAATCTGTATTCTTAATACTACTAGGGCCAACACTTAGTCCAAAATAAAGCATAACTTTAAAATCATCGATTAATACAAATACCTTGAATTTACATTTTTAAAAAACGATATTTCTTCTATTTGTCAATATCTGATTTAATGATGGTGCATACAACCCCAAAGTTCATTAAGTTACCATACATTTGGGCAACTGAAAATCAATGCAAAAAAAATCAGTCGATATATTTCAGTTTCTGCTCAAGCTACATTCCACTTTGTTGCTTTTGTCGTATTATATTAATGACATTACGTAGAAGAAAATCCTTCGCATTTCTCCAGGTAATCTGGTAAATAAATTATGAAACACATGTCATGAATTTTTTTAAGCATTTCCAACGGTTTATAGGAAATTGTGCGAGTTTATCGTTTTGCAACTTCAAGTGGAATGACTGACGCAATATAATTATTTCATTTCCAACGTTTGCCTAGTTCAGAGTGATAACAATTAACCCAGACCCTTCCCGTTCGTCACCGAACTGGCCAAACGACCATCGCTTACGTAATGGGCTAGAAGAACTGTTAATATGCTGCTCATAACACACACTTGAGCAGGACCCTGCCGCTTTCCAACCGGTTGATGGTCCTGGTAGACTCAATATTTCGCTTTCTTGTGTTGACACAAATAAAATATTCCCCGTTTGGGGAGAGAAAACAAATATGGATTTGCGTTTTCCCTTGCTTCAAATGCAGAAATGCAAAACACTTATTCGTCTTCAACAATATCCATAAATGCACTTTAGGTGGTCAGTGTAACTTTAGCCAACAATTTTTAAGTGAAAATATAAGTGTCGTCGTGCATGCACAGTTAGAGGTTTGGTGAGATTTGGAGTTAATAGGGAAAATTGCTGCACTGATATATATTTTGCGGCCGGCGGATGATGCATATCGGTGGACTGTACGACAAATATAATAAAGGGATAAAATAAAATTATGTCAGAGAGAGAGAGACAGACCAGACAGGAGAGAGAGAGACAGACAGACAGCCCAGGGAAGAGAGAGAGACAGGACAGAGCAGAAGGGAGAGAGGAGAGAGACAGACAGACCCAGACAGGGAAGAGAGAGAGAGACAGACAGACGACAGGGAAGAGAGAGAGAGACAGACAGACAGACAGGGAAGAGAGAGAGAGAGACAGACCAGGACCAGGGAAGAGAGGAGAGAACAGACAGACAGGGAAGAGAGAGAGAAGAGACAGACAGACAGGGAAAGAGAGAGAGAGAGGACCAGACAGCAGGGAGAGAGAGAGAGAGACGACAGACAGGGAAAGAGAGAGAGAGAGACAGAACAGACGGGAGAGAGAGAGAGAGAGACAGACAGACAAAAAAGACCAGGCAAGAGAGAGAGGAGGAGACAGACAGAACAGGGAAGAGAGAGAGAGACGACAGACAGGGAAGAGAGGAGAGAGACAGACAGACAGGGAAGAGAGAGAGAGAGACAGACAGACCAGGGAAGAGAGAGAGAGGAGACAGACAGACAGGGAAGAGAGAGAGAGAGGAAGACAGACAGGGAAGAGAGAAAGGAGACCGACAGACAGGGAAGAGAGAAGAGAGAGAGACAGACAGAAGGAAGAGAGAGAGAGAGAGACAGACAGACAGGAGAAGAGAGAGAGACGAGAGACAGACAGACAGGGAAGAGAGAGAACAGACAGGGAAGAGAGAGACAGATTCTTCTGTCGGAAGAGAGAGTTACAGACAGGGAAGAGAGAGACAGACAGGGAAGAGAGAGACAGATCAGGGAAGAGGAGAGACAGCCCAGGGAAGAGAGAGACAGACAGGGAAGAGAGAGACAGACAGGGGGAAGAGAGAGACAGACAGGCGAAGAGAGAGACAGACAGGGAAGAGGAGACAGAACGGGAAGAGAGAGACAGACAGGGAAGAGAGAGACACGACAGGGAAGAGAGAGAAGACAGTGGAAGAGAGAGGACAGACAGGGAAGAGAGAGACAGACAGGGAGAGAGAGACAGCCAGGGAAGAGGAGAGCAGACAGGGAAGAGAAGAGACAGACAGGGAGAGAGAGACAGACAGGGAGAGAGAGAGACAGACGGGCAAGAGAGAGACAAGCCAGGGAAGAGGAGGAGACAGACATGGAAGAGAGAGACAGGGCAAGGGAAAGAGACAAGACAGACAGGGAAGAGACAGACGACAGGGAAGAGAGAGACAGACAGGGACAGAGAGAGAAGACAGGGAAGAGAGAGACAGCAGGGAAGCGAGAGACAAACAGGGAAGGAAGGACAGACAGGGAAGAGAGAGACAGACAGGGAAGAGAGAGACAGACAGGGGGAAGAGAGAGAAGAACAGAGAAGAGGAGACAGACAGGGAAGAGAGAGAAGAAGGGAGAGAGAGACAGACAGGGAAGAGAGAGAGACGGAAGAAAGATCAGACAGGGGGAAAGGAGGAAGGAGACCAGACAGCAGGAAAGAGAGAGAAGAGGGAAGGAGAGCAGACAGGGAAAGAGAGCGCAGGAGAGAGACAGACAAGGACAGGGAAGAAGGAGAGACGAAGGGAAAGAGAGAGACAGACGGGACAGGGAAGAGAGAGGCAGGACAGGGAAGAGAGAGAAGGCAGGACAGGAAGAGAGAGAGAGAACAGACAGGGAAGGAGGAGAGAGACAGAGGACAGAAGGGACAGGGAAGAGAGAGAAGAAGGAAGACGAGAGACAGACAGGGAAGAGAAGAGACAGACAGAAGGAAAGAGAGAGACGCAGACAGGGAAGAGAGAGAGAGCAGACAGGGAAGAGAGAGACAAGACAGGGAAGAGAGAGACAGACAGGGAAGAGAGAGACAGACAGGGAAGAGAGAGACAGACACGGGAAGAGAGAACAGCCAGGGAAGAGAGAGAACAGACACGGGAAGAGAGAGCCAGACAGGGAAGAGAGGACAGACAGGGAAGAGAGAGACGACAGGGAAGAGAGAGACAGACAAGGAAGCAGAGAGACAGACAGGGAAGAGGAGAGACAGACAGGGAAGAGAGAGACAGACGGGAAGAGAGAGACAGAACAGGGAAGAGAGAGACAGACAGGGACGAGAGAGACAGACAGGGAGAGAGACAGACAGGGGAAGGAGAGGACAGATCAGGGAAGAGAGAGACAGACAGGGAAGAGAGAGACAGACAGGGAAAG